TAGTGTTAGTTATTTTTTAGCCTAATCAAAATAACCCAACTGCAGTTTGATTGAGATTAATTGGAATGCACAATGAAAAAAACATGATTTTTGAAAATTGTTAAAAACTGAGTTATATATATATATATATAATAAAAAAATCAACGAAACAATGAAATAATAATTGTAGCCTAATTATTAAAATATTTAATCATTAATATAAAATAAAATAAAATAAAAAATACAAATAATATATGTCATTGTATTAAGACCACTATCAGTAAAACAGAATGAAAATAAATGCTAAATTATAAAATCTAATTTTTCAAATGACAAACTAAAGTGACTGTATAATAAGCCACGATGTTGTGAAGTCGTGTCACGTGACTCGCTCCGTGTTTCAGGACAGCGCGCGCTCTGCTTAATGACTGGGAACTTTCCTTAGTGCGCGTTTTCTCATCTTACGCCTCCAAACGCTCTGAACTCTGCTGGAAACGCAAATCTAATGACTAACGCAAATGAGGCACGGCTGCGTGACGGCGACAGACATGTGCGCAAACTCTACAGACTGCGTGGGTAAGAGCTCGATCACGCATTTAACGCAGAAACACAGTTTACGTAAAACCGCTGCTCTCAACGCGTCTGTGGAGCAGACCGGGGCTAGTTGTCACATGCTTTTAATGCGCGTTTAATGCTTGTTTTCTCTGTATGTTGGCTTAAAACATCTAGTTCAGAATGTCTGGCAAACGTTTGGCCTTCAAACTATGATTTTTTTTTAAACACTACAGAAACACTCAATTATGAGGCTATTGTTTTGTGTTTCGTAATGGTTTTCTTATTTTAAACTTTGCAAGAAGTCTGTAGTTGGGCTTTGCTTGGTTTAAAACATTGTTTCTTGGTTATGCAAACGTTAGAAAAACATTTGGGGAACATTCTATTTTAGCGTTTTGCAAATATTAAAGGAACGTTACTTTTGAATGAACGTTCTGAAACAAGTATTAATAATGTTTAAAAAAATGTTAGACGAACGTGCAACTAAAAGGTTTCAGAATAAACGTTCCATGAGTGATGTATGAATAACATTTTTATGCTAATGTTTTGTGAATGTTATTAAAGATATTGAACGAAGGTTATATTAACTTTACTGGAGGAATCTTTGTTGATAACTTTGAGAGAACCTTGCTAGAACATTCTCACAACTTTCACTAACATTTTTTAGTAAGTTATATAAATAGTAAGACAAAATGTTCTTAAAGTAATGTTTATGAAACGTTCTTAGAACTTTATGAATATTTGATATACATTCTCATCATTTGTTAGGAGAAATTTTTTTATAACAACATTCTCAAAATGACCACGTTATTTGTATTTATAACGTTTTAATCAGAAAAACTGGACATGTTAACATTCTTAGAATAGTACAAATAAATGTTCAAATAACGTTACATTGTTGGTCAAAATAACGTTAGAAGAATGTTGTAAGAAACGTTTTTGTAACCTTTAAATAACATTAAAATCAACGTTAAACAGGACAACAATAACGTTCTCAGGGGCCGTAAACACAGAACGCGTTTTTCCATTGCAATGCGCTACTTTTACATTGTTTTTCTACGTAAATGCACTAGACAGATGTCTCGCATCTTTTGCAGCGTCTCGCATTTTTAAGACACCATTTCAAGTTAAAAGAATTGCAACTTTTACACGCAGCGCCGCTCATCAATGTCAGTTTCAAAACAGTGGACCAATCAGAAGACCCCGGAGGCGTACAGCACAGCAACACCCTAGCAACCGCATAGCAACACCTTAGCAACAGCCCCGGGTACCCTAGCAACCGAACATTCTATTTTAGCGTTTTGCAAATATTAAAGGAACGTTACTTTTGAATGAACGTTCTGAAACAAGTATTAATAATGTTTAAAAAAATGTTAGACGAACGTGCAACTAAAAGGTTTCAGAATAAACGTTCCATGAGTGATGTATGAATAACATTTTTATGCTAATGTTTTGTGAATGTTATTAAAGATATTGAACGAAGGTTATATTAACTTTACTGGAGGAATCTTTGTTGATAACTTTGAGAGAACCTTGCTAGAACATTCTCACAACTTTCACTAACATTTTTTAGTAAGTTATATAAATAGTAAGACAAAATGTTCTTAAAGTAATGTTTATGAAACGTTCTTAGAACTTTATGAATATTTGATATACATTCTCATCATTTGTTAGGAGAAATTTTTTTATAACAACATTCTCAAAATGACCACGTTATTTGTATTTATAACGTTTTAATCAGAAAAACTGGACATGTTAACATTCTTAGAATAGTACAAATAAATGTTCAAATAACGTTACATTGTTGTAACGTACGCGTTTTTCCATTGCAATGCGCTACTTTTACATTGTTTTTCTACGTAAATGCACTAGACAGATGTCTCGCATCTTTTGCAGCGTCTCGCATTTTTAAGACACCATTTCAAGTTAAAAGAATTGCAACTTTTACACGCAGCGCCGCTCATCAATGTCAGTTTCAAAACAGTGGACCAATCAGAAGACCCCGGAGGCGTACAGCACAGCAACACCCTAGCAACCGCATAGCAACACCTTAGCAACAGCCCCGGGTACCCTAGCAACCACATAGCAACACCCTAGCAACCATCCCGGATACCCTAGCAACCGCATAGCAACACCCTAGCAACTGCCCTGGGTAACCTAGCAACCGCAGAGCAACGCCTTAGCACCCACCCCGGGTACCCTAGCAACCGCTTAGCAACACTCTAGCAACTGCCCTGGGTACCCTAGCAACCGCATAGCAACACCCTAGCAACTGCCCTGGGTAACCTAGCAACTGCAGAGCAACGCCTTAGCAACCACCCCGGGTACCCTAGCAACCGCATTGCAACACCCTAGCAACCATCCCGAGTACCCTAGCAACCGCTCTAGTAACCACCCCAAGTACCCTAGCAACCGAATAGCAACACCTTAGCAACCACACGGCTTTTGTTTACAGTAGCAAGTTGCCATGGCAACTGTTTTATTAGACGGTAACATGACTGAAGAGGCGTTTTGCGCTGCGCTTTTTAAAAAAAAAACCTTCCTGAGCGCCGCGTCTCACGTTTTTAGACACAAATACACATTCTGTGTGAACGGCCCCTTAGAATATGAGTATAAAACAAAACAAAAAAATGTTTAAAACACATTAAATTTTGGGTGAACATAAAGTTAGTAGAATGTTGTAAGAAACGTTTTTGTAACCTTTAAATAATGTTATAACCATGACAAGAAAACTAACTTTTTATAACCTAAATTTGTTAGCTAGGATGCTCCAGTATAGGGTCATTTATTTATTTTGTATTTAAAACTTTAAGTTTTGTGTCTGTACAGAAACGGACTGAGAAATATTCACTTGAGTACAAATTTCACAACTTGTCTTTGTGAATCTAGAGCTGTTTTGGTTGCTGTAATTGCTCGATATCGTTGTGCAAAAATGTGCAAATGTTTAACAGCGGTAAAACATCAATAAATGTGTCAGTGCTGGTTGCCTAACAGGTTGGTTGGTTTACACTTTCTTGCAAATCTCTGTGACTTTACTGAGCGTCTGATTCTTTGCTGCATTATATAATATATTTTTCTTGAACTTTCCCAGATTTTGTGCAATAATCTTTTGCATGATAAGTTTATTTGCTCTTAATATGTGCGTTTGCACATGCAGTGACACACTGACGACAATGTAGGAACATTCGCATGTTACGAGAAGAAAGCCCTTTATTGAATGCAACATTGTTCATTTGCGGTAAAACTATGAAGGGTTGCTCTCCGCTCGAGATATCAGGACATGTTGAGGCAGAAAACTCTTGGAAACTTTATCTATTTCCTCATGGATGTACAAACGCACGGCGTGAAGAACAGTTTGCCCTCAAGATATTTACACTACATGTGCCATGGCGGAGAATAAAATCAATAAAATTAAGTGAAATGACCAAATTAAAAGCTGAAAATGTACCCTCAGGCCATTCAAGATGTAGATGAGTTTGTTTCTTCGTCAGATTTGGAGAAATGTAGCATTGCATCACTTGCTCACCAATGGATGTGAATGGGTGCCGTCAGAATGAGAGTCCAAACAGCTGATAAAAACATCACAATAATCCACAAGTAATCCACGTGCTTTTGGCTGTTATGTTTGGTATTGTACAATTTCTCCACCATCGAGCCCGCATGCGACTCATGACCTGATGCGGGTGTTTTGGTGAAGCTCTGGTCAAGTAAATGAACTGTGACTATCGTGTCCTCGAGGACGGCACTTCAAAGCGCATCGCAAGTTGCTTGGGATAAAAGCATTTATCATTTTTATGGTGGCACCAGGACATGCACTTAGTAATCGTTAACATCACTGTGTTTGTTTAGTATAGCGGTGCATTTTTGGTTTAGCATCCAAAACCTTTCTTTTAAATAAAACAATATAAAAAAGTGGTTCTTCTCTGTCCACAGCAATATTTGAAGGCCCTAGTTTTGTTTTCCAAACGTATTTTAATATTTAGAGCTGGGTTATTGTCGTTAACTGGAAATAAAACTATTTAAAACGTTTTTGTTCTAAACTGAAATAAAATATAATTATTAGATGAAAAACATAAACTAAGTTAAGGTTGTCTTGGCAACTAACAAATACATTTAAACTGAAGCAAATAAAAACTAAAAAATTAACTAAAACTTAAACTGTAACTGAAATAAAAATATATAAAACCTAAACAATAAATTAAATATTTTTATTCATTTAATTAATTGCAATTAACTGAAATAAAATAAGTTGAAGTACTAAAATTAGTCAAACTAAAACTGAAATATAAACAATTAATGCTATATAGAAATATAAAAAAAATGAAAATGAAAAAAAGCACATAACAAAATTACTAAAAATTAAACTCAAATGAAAATGAACACTAAAATGAATCAAACTAAAACTGAAATATAAATAATGAATGCTATATAGAAATATTAAAAAAATGAAAATGAAAAAAAGCACAACAAAATTAAAAATTTAACTAAAATGAAAACTATATATA